CCAAAGCTCTCTGTTCAGCCAGGCCTGTCCTCTTCCCCGCCGGCTTGTCTTTCAGCACATGGGGACAGCTTGCTCCTGCACCTTTTAAGATTTCCTTCTTGAAGAACGCCCAGCTTTCCTGGACCCCTTTCCCCTTCAGGGCTGCCTCCCAAGGGACTCTGTCAGCCAGGCTCCTCAACAGACCAAAGTCTGCCCTCTGGAAGGCCAAGGCAGCAGTTCTGCTGACCCCACTCCTTACTTCTCTGAATCGAAAACTCTTATCATTTTGTGATCGCTATGCCCAAGATGGCCTCCAACCATCACATTACTCACATCACATCACCCACACGTCCTTCTCTGTTCACAAACCACAGACCCAGTGGGTGCCTTTCCTCGTTGGCTCCCTCACCAGCTGTGTCAGGGAGGTCTCCGCCACACGCTCCAGGAACCTCCTGGACTGTTTCTTCTCTGCTGGAAAGGGGAGCAGAACAAGAATGAGTGCTCTCTTCCAAAGCCCTGGAAGAATACAAGGGGCGTGAGGAACTTCACTGGGCTTCAGTGTGTATCTAATTTGTTTTTCTGAACCATTTCTTATTCTCACTCTAGCTGTGGTGTTTAGGAGTGCAGTTTTTTGTTTTTTACATACACAGTTTGACGTAATTTCAGTCAGAATTTAGGTTTTCTTTTTTGTGTGTGCTTAAGGAACACATGAAGCTTTTTTGTAATGAGACTTCTGAAGTATAATAAAGGCCCAGAGATAGTGATTTATGTAGATAATGGAAAGTTCAACTAAATTATTTTTCCATTTGACCTAACTCTTGTGTTGTGTAAATTTTACAGGTGCACATGTGAATGAAGAGGACTTCTTATTGTTGGAGCTCTTGAACTGGTTTAAGAATGACTTTTTTCATTGGGTAAATAATCTTCCTTGCAGCAGGTGTGGTGGGCAGACAGAGCCTAAAGGTGACTATCTGTCGCCTACTGAGGATGATCTAAGGTGGAATGTCAGTCGAGTGGAAAATCATTACTGCAACCAGTGTCAGTTCTGTAATAGATTCCCAAGGTGAGCATACAAAGATTTGCTTTGTCTTTCTTTTCCTGTCTTTCAAGAAACAGCTTTGCATTTGTGCGTTTTGAGAACAGGTGATAAGTTGTTGGTTGAAAGATGAGAGAAACTGTTTTAAGTAACATGATAGGATGGTTGATGAACCAGCAATTGCTCTATAAGATTAGAGATTTTTAAAAACAATGTATTGCTTTCTTTTATGTGGCCTTGTTTTGAATACTTGTTTGATTTTCTTCTTTATTTTTTTTTTTTACTGTTAATTTGATAAAGTACAACTTCTAAATAAAATGTGTTAATATTAGCATAGTATGTAGGTAGGTTTTTGGTATTTCAGGGAAAACTTTCACTTCTATGGGAAATCACAAAGGGTAATGCACATCTTTTGCTGAGTGTACGGCAAAAGAGAAAATATCCAATTTTTTAATAGTTTTGCTAACTATCGAAAGGACCAGTGTACAAAAATCGTATTTTAAGATGAAGTCTAAGTCAATTTTGAAAACTGAAAAAAACAGATTCATTTCAGTACTGCTGTAAACGTGTGATGGAGTTATTGTGAGTCAAAGTAAAAGTAGCGTTCTGCTCGCACGTGTTTTGTGCAGTACAGCAATCACTTCCATTGTCTTCTGTGGATTGAATGGCACTGAAATCTGTTCAGATCGTCACAAGGGCAGTCATGTTGTAAAGATTTTGAAAGGTGAAACATATTTTCAATTATTCTGGTTTTGTTTGGTTTTTCTCCTGTAGGTATAACAACCCTGAAAAGCTTCTGGAAACCAGATGTGGACGCTGTGGCGAGTGGGCTAACTGTTTTACACTGTGTTGCAGAGCTGTAGGGTTTGAAGCTAGATATGTCTGGGACTGTACAGGTATCAGTATTCTAGAATATTGTAATGTTTATATGCAAAATGAGGTTATCTATTTTATGGTTCTCAGATTATATTAGCCATCAGGCAGCATATAGAGTTACGAAGTTCAGCTCACAAAGACAACATAAATTCAATTTCCTGTCTTACCTAGTGAGATGAAATATAGTTCTGCAAGTAAGGTTAGGTGATTGACTTATCAGAATGATACAATCTTCAATTGAATCTAAGGCACTGTCATCCTAAGATAGAAAGAGAAAGCTCTGGTAATTTTTCTGAATGTAGATGAACAGAAAACATGTTCTTTCACCTGTTCCTTCATTTCATAAATCAAGAAAAGTTACAATATTCTACAATATTAGAAGAGAGGATCTATCCTTACAATTCATTGTTTATTCTTGGCCTTTGTTACATAGATCATGTGTGGACTGAAGTATATTCTTCATCTCAGAAAAGGTGGCTTCACTGTGATCCCTGTGAAAATGTCTGTGATAAACCTCTTCTCTATGAAACTGGGTGGGGAAAGAAGCTCTCCTACATAATTGCATTTTCCAAAGATGAGGTAGGAGTAATTATATTAATGATAAACAAACTTGCCCCAAGGCAAGTATGTGATGTATTCCATCTTAGTGTGACTTCCATAATTATTATGGAAAAACATACTTTGATTAGCTAGCCTCTTTAAATGAAGCCAGATACGTGGGAATTTTTGGTTGCTTTATTTTCTTCTTCAACTTGTACTTGAGGTTGTTGACGTTACCTGGAGATACAGCTGTAAACATGAAGAAGTACTCTCTAGAAGGACAGCACTCAGTGAAGCTATGCTACGTGAAACAATTAACGCACTAAATAGAACGGTATGTAGCTTTTTTTAAATGGGTTTCTTTAAGTGAAACATTAAGTGTCTTTCCAGAATGCGAAGTCCTTGAACAAAGGAATGCATTTGGTAACCTGACAGGAATGTCCATGCATCTTGGAATATAAAATGCTGCTAACTATACAGACCTCATTTTACACTGAATACATAAGAATCAGTCACAGTGCTGAACTTACGTGAAATAAGGTAAAGAATGTTATGTGAGAGGATTATCATATTATCTCTTACATACTCAGACCTGTGTGTGTATATATAAATGTGCATATATATTTATTTTTTTTTCTTGGTGGCTTTGGAGTAGACTTGTGCATCAACGGATGTTGAGGGTAAACTACAACTGCTTTGTAGCTATGTGGACTCCTTGAGGGCAGCTGAACATTTTCCACATCAATAATGCTATAACTTGAAAAAAATAAAAAAAACAACTTGAAAAATTTGTAGTTCTAAGAAATGTAGGCCTAATTTGTTTTCTGTGACTCTTTACAAGCTCTGGGAAGCGGGAGGAATGATTCACAGGCTGTTTCCAAGACTTTCAAGAAGTATTGATACCATCAGCAGAGCTTTGGCTCAGAGCCACATACACTGTTCATGCCCAATGCCCTCAAAACACCTGGAGCCATTTGCTGCACCTGCATGTCATAGTCACAGAACCTGAGTGCACCTGGCACCTCTCGGCTAAGCTTTTTCCACTCCCTGCTTGGGACAGGATGAACTTTTCTTGACTCAATATACTAGAATACCACAAAACCTTGAACCACTTGTGAGGTTCCATTTTTGTTCCCACTTCCTTCCAGGGCTAATTCCTATGCATAGAAACTTTAATTCCAGTGATAGTATGCAGCTGATGGCTTAATAAACAGATTATGCCTTTTTAGAGGCCTGCTGTCTTGAGAGTTATAGCCACAGAGTAAGACTCTGAAGAATTGAGCTGGACTCCTGTTTGAGGCCAGGGCATGGAATCGTTTTATCAGTATGAAAAATTAGAGTCACATAGTGGAGTGGAGCACTGAGAAGGCTGACCAGAGTAGCAAAATAAAAGGAGGTAAAGGATCAGAAATTCAAGTTGAGGATTATGTGCGCTTCGTGCACTTGATGTGTTAGAACTGGTATTTGGCAGCTGGAATTTGTTCAGCTGGAGCTGTTCCGCATAATTTCTCTATATCTACTTTCCTTTATCCAGTTCCACATTGTTATCTGGAACAAAAACCCTTCAAATGCCTCTTTTCTGATCCCTAATAGCAAAACTTTCTCGGGTCAGGACTGCTTTTGAGATAACTGGAATACTTACTGGCCTGAAGTCTCAGATCCCAGCGGGCTGAGCGTGCATGCCTTGGGCAATTGCCAAAGTAGAAAAAAAAGATGATGTGTCATCATTTGCATACTCAATGTTGAACTTAATTTTCGAAACCTGTCTGGGTATATCCACAGTTAAGGAAAAAGGCTTCACATATCAGCTCTGTATATTTGATGTGAAAATCATGGAGACAAAATCCCAGCCCCTCAATGACTTTTTATTTTTTTTTAAAGTTGTGTACCAAAAAAATGCCCATAGTTTTTTTCATGTGGGCAAAGAAAGCTCTTTCTCTTTTCCAGTAATTTACCTGGATGTTGTAGGTGATATGTTTTTCTCAGTTTTCTGATACCTGCAAAACTATGAATGTCGTAGTTTGTTTAAGATAGAATCAGTCACTGTGAAATAACTCTTTCAGAGACCCAACTGAATCTTTTGTTTGGGCTTAATCACAAAACTGAGATGGTTGCGAACCAAATCTCTCCATCTTAGAGAAGAAGAGTTTGACCAAAAAATTATGCTTGCTTTCTCTTTCCCCCCAATAATATCAAGAACAGCTATGAATACATATGAATAGCTATAAAATATGCTATGTGGAAGTGTTTTATCATCCAAGCAAATGTATTATAAACAAGGCACAAACCGTGTTTTAAAATAAATCCACATAGTTAGTGCATGCAAGTTCACAGAAAAAGCACTGCTGTCGAGTAACCATGCAGTTGTGACTGATTTATATTTGCACATGTGATATAAGATTAATGTTTCAAACAGTCAGTCTAGACTTTAAATGTTAGTCTGTTTTTTCAATTCCTTTTTTCCCTATTGGTATCACTCTAGAGCAGAATTACAAATACCATTTTTCTGAATTTTTTACTTTGTTTCTTAAATGTGTTTTCAGAGGCAACGATCTTTGTCAGAAAATAGAAAAAGAGAACTCTTGGAAAGAACAATTGTGGAGCTTGTTGAATTTATTTCTCCTAGAACGCCTAAACCCGGAGAATATGGTGGAAGGACATCAGGTTCAATGGCTTGGCGAGTAGCCAGAGGTGAAGTTGGTCCAGAGGTATTTAACTCTTGCACTGATGACCGTCTTAGAGGTAGCTAACTAGAGGTTCTATGATTATGGTCTGCAGAGGAATAGCACTTCATGGTAGGTAGCCTGCAGATGTAGCTCAAACAGTGAAACTTGCAAACACATCAGATGCTAGTTTGATGTAAATTCAGTAGAGGTCCACAAGTAATTTTTGAGGGTTGATGGTGGCCCGTTGATTCTAAAAATGTTTGGGAATCCTTGATCTAAAGTGTTTTTTTCTCTTACAAGTTAATAAAAAATACTTTTTTGCCTTTTAATTAGTTACAGTGTGACAGAACTAGAAAGTTTAAGGCAGCTGAAAGCAGTTAGGAAAACTTTAAAAAATGTTTAGTAGTATTATTAGTTACTACTGGTTAAAGCCTGAAAGTAGGTTTTGACCAACTTTTTTTGTTAATAAAACAATGTGGGAGCAGTTAAGATTGTGTAAATGGAACAATCTCTTAAATAATAAGCTCGATTGATTTTCATATCAATGTTTTAGTCTATTTCCAAAAGGAAGATCTTATTTTTAATTATTTTATACTAAGATACAGTTTCCTAGAACTGTAGCCATTATTTAGCTTGAGCCAGCATGCAAAGGTGTGACTTATCCCATCACTTGTTACATCCATTTTGTAGCGATCCTGTCATGTGGAATGACTGACAATCCTAAATAGAGCCAGTGAGGTGAAATTAATGAGTTTCATAGGATTGTTTAAGTTTGAGAAACTAAGAGTTTATTTCAGTTCTCCATAGTTTAGAAGATTTAATTTCTGCTTTGCCAAAACTCATGAGAACAATGAAAAATCTTTAAAAAAGCCAACAAATACTGTGAACTTACGAAGTTTGTACCTTAAGTTTTTTTGGAGTTGATTTCTAAGCTGTCATATACAAGCACCTGTATATGATAGTCACAGCATTACATTTGCTATTGAAAATAACCATTTATTTATTGATTGTACAAGAGATATACTCAACATATAAATTTTCTATCCCTGACATGTTAATCTCTTACTTAAATTTGCTAAATTTATGTTATTTTGTTAATAACTTACTTCTGAAAGTAATTACATGAAAATTTTAAAGATAAAATTAGTGCCTCCTTCTGGAAAAGGTGTAGGTCTGTGGTAGGAAGCTGGTTTAAAACTTCATTTGCAGAAATGCTTTTGTCCATAAGCTCTCTTAAAAATGACATTTTTTTCAGTTGGCAGCAAAACTGAATTGGGAAACCATAACATGCTCTTTAAGAGTAACATAGTCTTACTGAAATGTATTGGGGAATGTATTTTTTGTCTTTTTCAGAAAAGAAAGGAAGTACTTTTTATTCCCTCCGAAAAAGAGAAGACATCTAAACTCTTCCATCTCATCTACAATATAGTAGAAGATAGTTATACACGGATTTCCAATAGTAATGAAAAAATAAGTGGCTGGGAAACAGGTGTTTGGAAGGCAGAGTCTATCTGGAGAAAGGTTGAAACAGATTGGAAAATGGTAAGGATAACAATTACTAAAAGTGTAAAATCTACTGTAAAAGTATGATAACTCCAACAAACTGGAAAACCTTTGCCAATTTTGGGCATCCAAACCTCTCTTGGTGCCCATAGAATTTAGCTGATGGTAGTAAATATTACTGTTCAGCTTCAGGTAAGATTGCCAGGTGATTTAAGAAATCGGAAATAAATTTAGCATGTCTTTCAGAAAGGATGACCGAATTCTCTGCAGATAGGTAAAATCCTTGCCAAAGCACCAAATTTTCAAACATGACTTCCTTCTTACACTTATGGGTAAATGCACAAATACAGTTTTATTGAAAAGCAGTATTCTCTCCAAAAAAGCTACTTTCTTTGTTTTTGAGACTAGCTTTATAGTGCATCATATCTCTTTGATACCCAGCCAAAGGAAGAAACTGTCATGCTAAATATTACAGTTCCATCTGCAAGAAGGCAAAAACCTGTCAGTTACCCAGATTGTTGTATACCCTGCCCAGAATCCTTCCCCGCTGTCAGGACACTGAGCAGCTGAAGAATCATGTACTCTAAATCTAAGAGGAGAACTGATGTCTGTAAGATGGAAAGGGATCATTTACTAGCAAACAGCTTTTCCTGCAACAGCTACCAACCGTGGAACTGAGTGTTCCTGTCAGGGACTATAGCGTGTTATTGCTTTGTTCCCCTGTTGTTTTACTAGTCTGAAATGTCTCCGGCCAAACATTCTTCTAGCTTAGGCAATGGTTTGCTTCCCGTTAATGAAAAATGGAGCTAAGCATCTAACTGTCTTCTGAGGTTTTCTGTGCTGCGTCTATACATAACTGACTTGCAAAATGCGATGGGGGAATAGCTTGGAGAGGTTATTCTACATAACAGAGAAGGAATAAGGGAAGAAACTGGAGAATAATATAAAAGATGTTACAACAGAGTAAGCGAATAGGAAAAGGGAAGTAACAAAAACTCGGAATGAGGGCAACTGTTCTCTGCTTCCCTACAATGTGCTAAAAATCTGATAGCACGTTGTATCTTCAAGTCTCCAATGATCAGTTATCCTCACTTTTGCAAGAAACATACTGTCTTTGCACTGAAACCAATTAAAAGTCCGCTGTTCTGCTCAGCTCTACTTAATCAGATAAAACAAGGAGGGACCGATCTGTAAGACCAGGCAAAAAGACTTTACCCTTGTATTTAACAGCATGTCAGTTTTTCTAGATAAAGGATGAGAGGATGACCTAGAGATCCAGGTATATCTCAGGCTTGTGGGTAAGGCACGTCAGTTCTACAGGAACTGCTAGTATCCTGCACAAAGTCTGTGTATGAATCTGAAATGACTTTTCCTTGAGGGTTGTTTGTATTATGGGGAGACAGCAGAGGGTAAGGTAGTTTGGGGGTTGCCTGTTCTTTTTGTAACACCTCTATATAAATCTGCAAGGTACGGACTTGGAGTTTGATTCAGCAGCTGTCCAAGAAACTTACCAGCCAAAGGAGTCTTTACAAAAATATTTTGTTTATCATTTAGTATGTGATGAATGGAAAGGAATTTAAACATAAAAGTCACAGTAAGGTAACTATAGATGTTAGCCCTGGAGTAACAGAAAAGAACCTTCAGTTACGTATTCTGTCTTTGTAATGTTGTTGATTGAAATTATTCAGATAGATGATCATCTTGGCCAGTCTGATAGTAGCCATCTAGATCATATTTGTGTCTTTTCTTGCAATTCGGTGTCACTTGACTTCATGGTACACAACTCAAACAGGTACAAACCACAAATTTCATCACATTACCCAGAGATAACTTGGCATCCAGGACTCAAGCAAACAGACCACAGTAGGTCATAATAAGAATGTAAGAACTTGCAGATCTGAAATCCCTGGGTTTCTAAAAGGTTGTTTTCCAGAAAAATTTCTCCAATGGAAGAGAATTTGAAGGAATCTTTTTTTTTTCCCCCCCATGAATTCAGACTTTTTTCAAGTAATACTGGAAAAAGAATAGCTACGTGTTAGAGGACAGTCAAAAAGACACAAAAGGAAACTTTACCTTCTGTTTTTCTGATTAAATGCTTGGATACTATAATGGAAGATGAGACAGGCTACTGTTTTAGGTTTTATCCCTGAAAGCCTACGTTTAGTGCACCTTAACCAAGTAGTAATCAATGGTTTGGCTTCTTTACTCAAACATGGCAATTCAATAGGATCTGATCAAGGGAAATCTCTTGGTAGAACTAGCTGAGGTACTTAAATTGTGTGGAGATCAGCACTTTTGTGAACATTAAGATTATATTTACATGAAAGCAGGTTAAACTATTACATGCTCGTAGGTGAGCTTCAGTGTAACACCTCACACCTTTGGGGTTTTTCAGTTTTCTTAAACATGAGAATTAACATTTTTATGCCTGGTGCATAGTAACACTAAAATTCTGTTTTATAGTCTGTCTGACACTTCTGTGTTAGGGTGGGATCTTTAGTAAAACATACTACTGTGTTTTATTGTCATTTTATTCAGAGTTGTTCTTCCCAGATTAAAATCTAAAGAGCTGTCTAAGTCCATCCAGTATGACATTAATCAGAAGCCTGAATGTCACAGAATTTTGCTAAGTTTTCTTAACTGAGGATTCTGAAGGATCATGGCAGTTTTGACTCTTTAATCTGTAATGTCTGTTATCTTGGTATGCTGATAATAGATGCTAGACTTGAAAGGACCATCAGACGCTTGTTATAAAATTCTTACCAGGGTTCATAGTAGCTTTAATGAATGTTAACATATGAACTTGACTGTTCAGCAAGGTGAAGTTTAGAACAGCATTGGGACTACATTAAGTTATGCAAATCTCTAACAGCTCAAGTAATGTTAACACAGAATTTATGTATGGCTAGCACGTATGATCTGCTTTAACCAAGACATGTCAAGTCCTAGGAGAAGTGGTGTGCAGCCAGCAGCCACGTCTGAAGAATCTAAAATACTGGTTACGCAGTTTTGACCATTAGCAGCACTGGACAACCAAAATGAACAGCCGAAGTGTGTGAGCCTCTGCATTTCTATAAAAACCAGAAGTCTGCTTTTTTTTTTAAATAAGAAACTTAGATATTTTCATGGCTTAAACTTTACCAAGCATGTTGAAATAGATTAGTGTTCCCTAGTGAAGGACTACGAACGTGTACAATTACCTAACTGTAGAACAGACTTAAGGATTCAGAATGAGATTATATATGGAATTGTACTACGTACAGTTGTAAAGGTTCAGAGGCTTGATAGAGGATGAAAGTATGTTATCTTAAGATTTTATGTCCTTGTTACAACGATTAATTAGATGTGTGTTGGTCATATCAGTTTTTGACATGCTGACTATATCTTCTTTCCTTTTAGGTTTATTTAGCCCGAAAAGAGGGGTCATCCTCTGCTTCCATCAGCTGGAAGTTTGAGTGCAAGTCAGTCGGTCTGAAAATAGATAACATTTCAGTTAGGACAAGCAGTCAGACATTTCAGAGTGGAAGAATAAAGTGGAGACTTCGCTCTCCAACAGCAGAAATTGCTCTGATAGGGGGTAAGTGTGGAATTTAAATAATGAATTTCATAACAAGGTCAAGAAAATACTATGCATTTAATCAAAACTGGTACAAAAATAAGTTTTATTAATATAAAAAATTATTAAATAAAAAATGAATATAAAAACCCCCAGCTGTACCTGCAACAGAGGAGGGTTAGCAAGAACACAGATACTTGTGTGTTTTACTAGAAAGGATAGATGCTTCTATGTGCGGTGGCTTCAGTCTTCACTGGGTCCTCTCAGCACAAGCACTAAATAAATAATAACTAAAAATTTGCAGCTGTTTTTCTTTTCCTACTGATTGACACATGAATTTGAGTAGTTGCAAGCAAGATCCTTTAGACATTCATTACAACTTACCCTTTTTAACAGGCATTCTAGCATTGTATGCTGTCTTGGAGCAGTGGCTTACTGAATTGTGTGTCTTTTCCTCCAATAGATAAAAACCTTTGCTCCTATTCAGATTTTTCTGGTGCAACAGAAGTTGTGTTGGAAGCAATTCTAAATGGAGGAGATGGTGAAGCTGCATGGCAACACACACAGCTGTTTAGAGAGAGCTTAACAGGGTGTGGAGAAAATAGCTTGGAGATAATTATAAAACTCAGTGACCTCTGAGACCCTGAAATGAAGAGATGTTCTTTGGATTCCTTGAAGAGGTTATACCATGATACAACATGAAGATTTGGTTGGCAGTCCCTGTTCATCCTGCTGGCAGATTATTTCCTGTTTCACTGCTTCCATTTAACCAACTTGAAACTGCAAATGTATTGAATAGGTAAACGTCATAATGAAAACCTCTTCGCTTTGAAAACAAACACCAAAATTTTAAAGGATTGAACCATGAAATACCCTTGTCTTAAACTCTATGATGAGACAGTTTTTAGGAAGCAAAACATGATCATAAGAGCACAGAGCAATTGTAATTGATTTTAATTTGGAGTTTTGGGGTTGGTTTGCTGGGTTGTTTTGTTTGTTTTTTTTTTTATAATCTACTCCTTGGAAAAACAGTTTGAATTCCATTTTCCGATTACAACAGATGCTTGTGATGATTTTAAAATATTTTAAAGAATAATAGAAGACTTAGATATTTTGAAAGAAAAATATGATTTTATGTAATAACCAGAAGAGCTGAAATTAAGATACATTTTGAAGCAATATTGAAATCATCTTAAATATCTAAGTATTAAACTTGCATTTAATACCTAGAAATGTTTGGAAATACGATGATGTGCTACGAAAATAAACTAATTTTGAAAGAAGTGTTCATTATGTACCTAAAATTGTCGTGGCCTGTGATACGAAATTGAGACTTAAAATTGAGTAAGAACATCAGAATTTTTTCTATGAACAGATAGATTATTCATTATAGATACTTTTTAATGATATAAATTCAGATTTGCCCACTTTTTAAAAGATTTATTAAGCATGTAGGTTGAAATCACTTTTTAAGGTATTGTCTTGAGTTACTTTGAATACTATTCCTGGATTTGATGTAAAAGTATATACAGTTTTTCTGTTCATTAATGCAGTGTTTAAATTTCTTTTCATTGAATGTAATACTGCCACCCAGGAGATGTCAGATGTAGCAGTGCTGTGAATAAAGTATGGAGTGAACGTTCAGATTAGATAGTCTTTATCAGAGGATTTGAGGAAGGCTATGGCTGGATTGTACAAGAAATTTTCTATTATAGACTATAATGCAAAGTTCAAACTATAGTTTTATTTTAAAGAAGTGAAAATTAGGGATGATGTTCTCAAGATCAGTGTTTTTAAAGCTTTTTGTTCCTTTTTCTGACCCTTCCAACTGCTGTATTGATTTGAAATGATCATCAAAAGTAATTTACGTTGAAATAAATGTTTGGTGACCTTTCAACAAATCTAAGCAAATAGAAGACTATTCAGATTTTAGTAGGAAACTGCGTATGTGCAGTGATTGTAGGCATCAAAATTATGCCAGAGACATCTTAAAAAGTAGTAGATTATGGCAGCTCGGGAGGGACAGAATGATGCATGATGGATTATATACTTCAGAATGTAAATGGACAGTTTATGAGGAGGATTGGAAAGACGAAGTCTCACTCCCTTAATACTGAACAACACAGCAACAGGGAACTGTATAGAAGGGTGTTCACCGACACTTGATTAATGCAAAGTGAATTTGCCAGTCTCCATTCAAAACTCCTCCTGTATTTAGTTTCAGTGAAATGCTGGTTCTGAGATTTTGAGTGCGAGCCCAACAGAAAAGTATTTTAGACTAATCTGTATACTATGTTGGAAGAAAAAAGACAAAAAAAAAAAAGATGACTTAGTGACACCAATCAACAAAAATGTTTCCGCTTCATAATTTTGATAGCTGAAAAAGAAACTGCTTTAAGACAAATGATTTCTAGCGTTGTATTACTTATAATAGAGGACTATGAGGAATTGCAGAACAGCTTAACTGTATTTGATAATTTGAAAGCAGAAGGCAGAATAAATTTAAAAGTAGTAAGATAAACATAATATTCTCAGAATTTTGTTCAGAATCTGTGGGGGAAGAGTAATAGCTGCAGATAATTTACTAAAATCATCTACTCAAACAGCAGAGTAGTTGAAGTCCGTTATTAAAATGTTTGAATGAATTAAAAAGATTGAAAAAAGCCTCGCCAATCTAATTAATCAAGAAGTACTTCTGTATGTAAGATCACATGCGATGAATAAAAATGCTTACTTTAAGAAAGAAAGAATGAATAAAAACCTCAGCCTGAATGGAACTAATCTGAAAAAGTTAAGTGAAACTCCTTCAACTGTCTTTTGGGAGTACCCTATGGACAGTGAACGTTTTGAATCTTTTCATGCATAAGCTGTTTTAAAGGAACTAATTTTTCTCTGTTGATCTCTATTTCAGTGCAACTCTTAATAAATTTTTAAATATTTTTTTGAAACCAGAGGTAATTCCTCATCAATAGTAACTTACAGTATCCTGAATTTGCAATATTATACGGTGGAAAGATCTGTGCTGCAGTGTGCTCTGAAAGTATGGGTATTAATTTCTGTTGGCAATGATGCGATACTGGTTCAGTTGTAGGAGATGTCGATGAGAGGGTATGTAGCTAAGAGTCAGTGCTTGCTCAGCTTCTTAGAAGTTTGGGAAGGGGGAGGTTAAATGGGGAAATAAAAAATACTGTTGCCCAGAAATGTGTGGCTTAATGTCAATATAGGTAAAACCAGCAATGTTTTCTAGAATTCAGTTTAGTCTGGTGCATTTTAAAGAATGTCCAGTGTGCCATGGGTGTCTTCCAAAGTTGCATTGAGTTGTAACAGTGAAATCTTTTCAATCAAATTTTACATAAATACTATACTACCCAATTAATGCTTGCAGACTAATTTTGAAGTGCATGATTTCCGACAGAACTATGTGGGAGCCTGTGCGCAGAATTCCTCCTTTCAAACAAGTATTTGTTGTGCCGCACTGTTGTCTCTCTACAGTTGATCATATAACTGTTCATTTCTTCATAGCCTGTTTTGACTCTGAATGCTGCAACCACTGGTGGCAACCTGCAAAACTGTAGGAGTAATTTCCTACACCCCATGAGGTTTCTGGGAAAATGTATCTTTAAAGCATATGAAGGAAGCCCCTTGTAGGCAATGTAGAGAGGAAGCACAGGTATAGAAGAATCAAGCAAACTTCATTATAAGATGTATACTTGCACGCAGAAGTAGGTAATGAAAATGATCTCATCTGATCCTGTGTGATAATCTGTTGCCTTTACTCGTCAGTTACCCACAGAAGATTTTTCACATAGAGTGACTTAGATGTCAGATACAATCCGTATTTGTGCAACATCAGGAACTGTAGAACACTAAAAATGAAGTACGTTTAGCTCCATAATACAGTGGAATGAAAATAGATGGTAGGCAGCACGTACGGCTCCCAGAAGCTGGGAACATGTGGTCAGCTTCAGAAAGTGCAGTTACTTAAGAAAAACTTAACTGAAGGAAAATCTACTGAGGGAGGAATGGTCCTGTTTTAGCCAAACCAGGACATTCTGATAATGGAACAATGGGATTTACGATGCAGGAGGCCCTCATGGACAGTTTCCCTTAGCAGCAGCTCTTAGCTATGAGTTTTATTTCATCAGGTTACAAATTGTATCTGTCTGTTGCCTGGACTACAGTTAGTTTTGTCCTACAAGCAGTAAACGCGAGAATAGTTTAGTGTATCTTCTAGCAAGCATAACGTTGAAGATATTGGAGGCATGTCACCATATTGTGGGGAGAGTTAAGAAATCTCTCAAGTACTTCAGAAAAAGCTACTTGGGCAGTTCCGCTGTACTTACTCTCCTTCTTGTAGAAGGAAGAGCTTACGAGGTTGTTCTGTCTCCTTAACTTCTTCCCAGTGTAAGAGAAACCAAGGAGAGGGTGAGCTTCTCTGTCTTCTTCTTTATCTCCTTCATCAGCTTTCAAGATGGAAGTAAGGACCAGAGAAGAGCAGGCCCTTGCTGAGACGGTGGTCTGACATGAGTATTAGACCCTTGCCTGCTGTTCTAGTGATGTGGTTTTGTGAGCAAGAGGGACTTGAAGCCCAGTGGAATG